ATGACCTTGTGACACTTCCGGTTTTATTGAAGACAATGTTCCTGATCTTAACTCTGTACCAAAGCATTGTTTAAAAAGTTATGGAAAATCCGGGTGAATAAGTCTTATCCATGATAAAAAGACAAAGTTGTCAATCGACGGTGTCAGTTCTGCATCGGCGAACATGATGAGTTATTTGGTATCACGTCGGAGGAGCGTTTGTTCGTTGATAAAGATCATCTGGTCGTTCGTCGGGCTTAAAACGTATAGCAGTCGATAAAACGTGCTCCAGTGTACTAGAAGCCATAACGTGAACAGATAGTTTGTCATAGATTTTCAACGGAAGTAGAATTTTTCAATATTGTGTATCTTGAAATCACGGGACAATAATTGGCGATTTCGATATCATTAGTACTAGCATGTTAACTCTCTGTTGATGTGAACGCCTATTGGCTGCTGCTACCTCTTCTACGTCATCTACAAAGCCAAGGTTGGGGCATTTTCTTTTCCCAAATAAACGCCTTCTCTTAGAAATGTTGCAAACTGTGGGTCTAATGATCAGCTATATATATATATATCGACAATTTAGGCTGCAGTATATGTATCAAGGAAAAAATCAATTTACGCACGTCTCACACAGGTTTTGCACTTCCTGATGTACGTTTATATGTGATGAATAATTACTTTTTCTTGTAGGCATACATTCGAATCACGCTGCCACAACGGCAGTTAAAATTAAGATACACATGGGCATTAAGTCATTTACATAAATGCAATTGCAACTGAATATATTCGGTTTAATGATTTTTTTTTTATCTTTGATGATTTCCTTTCAGCACATTACACATTGATACTGTCGTTTACAATGGCAAACAGAATTAGAGAACTTATAACATAGTTTACCGTCCAGGACTCAACAAGTACATACATGTATATCTTTCATTTTTCCACTTTTTCTAAATTATATTTTGTACAGAAATGCGAATACCTTTAACTATATATCACTGTCATAAAAAGACATTTGACAACTTCAAAATGCTGACCTTTTTGTAGATCTTGTCTTGCTGATCATATTTTCTTTTAGAGTGTTTATCTTTCTTATAACTTTTCAAGATAATAGGCTATAACAAAATTAAATATTAGAAATTTTCCTTTAAGGGCATCATTCATATAAAGAGTTGACCAACGATTTCATCAATATCGACTCATTTGTAGATTTTGCCTTGTGGATCATTTTTGCTATTTAAAGTTTTTCCTCGATCCAATATTATTTCAAAATGATAGGCTATAACTAAAAAGAAATGGTGAAAATTGCCAAGGACACTAACTTCAATAAGGAGTTGACTGACAATTTTTTGAATGTTTATTTATTTACAGAATTTGTCTTTCTGATCATTTTTGCTTTCAAAGTTTCTCTCTATCTATTATAATTTTCAAGATAGTAGGCAAAAATGCCAGAAATGGGTCAAAATTGTGATTTAAGTGCAATGATTCCTATAAGAAATTGCCTGAAACTTTAGATGTAAATAGACAGAAGGTCGAAATCAACAATCCTTTGGGCCAGGTGAGCTAAATAAATGTCAAGAGTGGTGATAAGCCCGTCCTGTGCATATTGCAAAATGAAATATTTATATGGCATCTTATCAGAAATTAGTTAAATGGCTCTGTAGAAAAAAACATGCATATGAATATTGCCTTAAATGAGTTAGGTGGAAAAAAACAACAAACCAGAAAATTTTCACGTCAAAAGCAAGCCAGCATTCACAAATCCCAACATCAGTTTAAAATTTTCTTAGTAATTTGATCCAAGCATTCTAGAACCAGTTACAAGTAAGCGGATGGCATGGTTGCTCCTAAACATTTTTAATCCCGCCACATTTTGTATGAACCTGTCCAAAAGCAGGGGCCTGCAATTCAGTATTTCGTATGATATGACGAGGGGAGAGTAAAACGTGCATGAAAAAATGATCCAATACCACTGGACGTCTTTGAAATAATGAATCTTGATCAAATAAAAGCAGGTTTGCCTGGATAAAGATATTTATTAACTAATCTAATTTACTCTATTTCGCCTTCGCCCTTTATTAACCTTAACTATAGAATTTCTCACGGTAATTCTTAATTCCAAAATTTAAGACAAACTGGACCACTACATATTCATTTCCTTGATAATGATGGTTATTTGGTTTCTTAACCTAGGGGATATTTCAGTAAGTTTTATATATGGTGGTACACAATGTATGTAGGCACGTTTTTGATTTCTATGAATGTATTTTTATTACCTTTTATTTTTTTTTTTTAATAAATTTTTATCGAAACCTGATATTGCGTGAAAAAAAAGATTACTTGCAAGATTTAATCTAGAAGTTGTATTTCACACCCAGCATTAATATTAATATTAAAACAATAAGGAGATCAGGTATGATTGCCAATGAGTAAACTAACCAACAGAGTCCAACTGACATGGATGTAAGCAACAAATTATAGGCCACCGTTCGGCCTTCAACAATTCGAAACATATACTGTATAGTCAGCTATAAAAAGTATCGACATGACAAAATACAAAACAATCGAAAGAGAAAACCAACCGCCTGCTTTAGGCAAACCAAAAAATGAAAAACAAATATAACAACCACCAACCAACGAAAACCACTATTATATAAGTATAATACATGTAGTATTCATGCAATTCCTTTGTTTTAGATAAATAGCTCTATTGATGAGGATAGATTACCTTAGCTTTATTTTGGAAAAACCTTTCGGAATTTCGGGTCCTCAATGCTCCTCAACTTTGTTATAAATTTGGCTTTTATCTTTTTTATTCGAGTGTTCCTGATGAGTCTTATGTAGACGAAACGCACGTCTGACTTACAAAATTATAAGACTGGTTTATTTTAGGAGTGTTTTTTTTTTTTTTTTTGTATTGTCTGTTGCCCTTTCAATAACTTTGTAAATTCATGTTATCTTTGCCATGTAACGATTTCCTTTTTCTATTTAGAGCATTGCATATTTTTTTTCATATTTTTTTTTTTTTTTTTTTTTTTGGTTTTAGTGCTTCATAAAGTCATTTTGAACGCTGATATTGTATTTAATATACTTTGTGCATTTGTATTCTTTCTGCACACTTATTATAACGATTTCATTGTACATGACAGGCATGCCTCATAAAATCCCTCATAATGTATGCTCTTAACAAAACGTTTGAAAAACTCTATAAATAAAACGTTAATGAACATAACACATCTTTTCTGGTCTTGGTTCGGTTTAGACCTTTATATTTTCTGTAGACGCTTATCTACTGTTGCAGATCAGTCTTGACCTCTAGATATCTGTTTTGTGAATTAGGTTTGCTGTATACTTTGCGTTTACCACATATCTCCTTTTATTCATATTTTTAAAGATCACTACAGAATAGTTAAAAACCATTAACACTCAATACTGACTGTAAGCGATGGATCCGTCAATTTTTTGAACTATTAATTCTTCGTTCGTTTTGTATGTCGTGAATGGGAGCATTATATTACATTCCTAGTGGATGGGATCAATTCTTATATAGCTGGAATATTATCTCTCTTCTTTTTATTACTGCATGTTTGCGGATTTTTATTTTAAAGTACGGTTTACATAGTAAGTCAATTGTTGACACAATATAAACCATATATATATAGTTATGTGTATTCATTATACAGAAATGCACGTAATAAGTATTTCCTGGTATCAATGTCCGATGTATGAAATAGAGGTATTTCCTTTAATTCAATTATGTATATCTATTTATTCCATGTAATAACGCCATTTCAATCAACCATTCATTGTTTTATAATATGTTATGCATATGCCAAAAAATTGTTCTTTTAATATTTGGAATGAATTATATTCACACTCAAGTAACAAAGGAATACGGATATTGTAGACATAACAGAAAGTAAGTGAATTATTATCATGGTAAATAATTGTATAAATTTGAAGCTTATCGCAAACATTTGTCTTTTTTTCAATATTTCTGTTACTTGGCTTAGCTACTGAGATCACCTCCAGTTTTTGGTGGGGTTCGTGTTGCTTAGTCTTCAGTTTTTTATGTTGTGTTTTGTGTGCTATTGTTTGTCTGTTTGTCTTTTTCTTTTTTAGCCATGACGTTGTCATTTTATTTTCGATTTGTGAGTTTGAATGGCCCTCTGGTATCTTTCGCCACTCTTTTACAAATCTTTTATATAGATATAAGAAGATGTGGTATGAGTGCCAATGAGACAACTCTCCATCCAAGTCAAAATTTATAAAAGTAAACCATTATAGGTCACAGTACGGTCTTCAACACGGAGCCTTAGCTCACACCGAACAGTAAGCTATGAAGGGCCCCAAAAATTACTAGTGTAAAACCATTCAAACGGGAAAACCAACGGTCTAATCTTTCAAAAAAACGAGAAACGAGAAACACTTATGAACCACATCAACAAACGACAACTACTGAACATCAGATTCCTGACTTAGGACAGGTGCAAATAAATGCAACGGGTTTAAACGTTTTAATGGTACCAAACCTTCACCCTTTTTCTGAAACAATAGTGTAACATCACAACATAGAAAGACACACTATAAAATATCAACTGAAATAGCTTAACTCAATCAAAGGACATATTAACACCATTGAACATACACTGAACAAATAAATTTGACCTATGACACAATGTAAATACAAAATAAATAAACTAAGGGAAGAATAATAAAAGTAACATGTTATATCGGTAAGAAATGTTAAACAATTAAAGAAAAACAATATGCTCGAACAAAAATATCAGCCATTTTAGTTTACTTTCATTATGTAACTTTTGTTGCACTAGAAATAGCATGTATTTCTCATTTGTATAATTTGCCGCTATATCATTGACAAACTTTTCTTTATTTAGCTGTTTTAAATCAAGCATCCCTGATGAGTTTTATGCAGACAAAATTTATCCAAATTTTAATTTTGATATCTTTGATGTAGTTTTAGTTCACATATGTGTTTCGTTTTGTAGTGTGAATACCACAAATGGAACTGTCATTGCAGAGGATAATTTTTGTTGCAGACATTATGAAAAACGAAACAACAAATGTGAAGGTACTTTAATAAGTTCATGTCAGCAGAAATTATTGCCAGATTGTAAATAATTTAAAAGATAAGTATATATAGTTCCGTAATTGATTAAACAACCCGAGGTTGTTCAGACCTCTTTGCTTATATATATTTTTTTAAATTTTAACGCTGTATATATGTCAACGTAATTGTGAAGGATGTAATCGTTGGAAATTTTAATTATTTGTAATATTTGTACATGCATAGAAAAATCGAACTGAAATGATAAAAACATAATATTAAGGAACAGTTTTCAGTAGTATTGAAATGCTTTAAGAGTTATAAAAAAGATCTAACAGGAATAAGTATGTTCCATAACCTAGTAGGACAACTCTGTACATGACATTTTGCTATAAGAAAATAAAAATTATATTAAAATGGCATATTTAAATAAATAACGTTTGCAGTTTTATCTTTGATCGGGATTAAAGTTCATTTTCATTCAGCAGTGAATATACGTATTATAAATGTTTAATATCAAAATCAGTGTACTGGTTTTGCCTATAATGGGTCCTCTATTGGAAATACAATGTATCTTTATCTTTGTATGAAGAAAGTATGTAAATTTTTTACCATCGGTAAACTATGTTCGCTGTAATTTAAACAGTAAGTTAACAAGAAGCCAATTGGCCATTTTCTACTTCTTCCTACCTTATGGATGAAAATTTATAAACAGATGAACTACATCTTCAATTTGTTTATGTAGAAAAGGATATTGTTCAAATTCGAATGCAGAATGTCTTATCGCATAGCGGTTCTCTTCGCAAAAAAATAATTCTGCCACATTTCTGTATGCACAAATGTACGGGAAAAATAATTTTGTATCAAAACCAAATGTCTACATCGTTACATGATTTTGAATTATATAGATTTCAAGTGACATTTCTACAATAAAAAAATCATTGTCGTGAACTCTAATTACCTTTGATATGATGTAGTTGGTATCATCCTCTCTGTTATAACTGGAATTGGATTTTTTTCGCTAGGCTTTGATGAATTCAAATATCATTATTCCAAATACTAATTTGCATCTAATTAAAAATACTTTTGTTCACCAATTAATGTGTCTTAAAATATTTTTTTTAGTACACCAAATGTCCTGTCATATCTGCAATTGATTAACTTTTTCCATCTTTCGATTGAAAGACCTCAGGATTTTTTGATCTGATTATTAGGACTATCAACCTTTCTCTGGAAAGAGCTGTTGATTTTTTGTTTTAATTATGTTTTCTCTTCCGCCACTTTTGTGTCTAAATGTCTCTTGTTTTGCAACATGTTGATAACACGTTTTGTATATTATATCGAATATTTATTGCACTTTTGAAAATCCTCTGTTCAACTAACCACTTTTCCATATGGGAGTGATCTTCCAGTATACTGTCTTTCTTTCATCACGTCGCCTCAAAAAGCATAAAAACTATCACTTAATTCTTGATTATATATGTTCTTCGTCAGCAATATCTGTTAAATTTAGACGGAACCGTTCCGATTACATGTAAGGAGACTTATTTTCTTTTAGTGTTATGTTGGTTTAACTTATAAACCGATATAGAGATATAGAGGCCTTTGATTAAGTTCCATAATCCAAAGCGGTAAATTGAGGTCAAGATCATGTTATAAATTTTGAAGTTTGCTAGTTATCGGAACTTCTCCGAAACAGTTAAAGTGATCAACATAAAGGTTTCGTCATTTTTTTAGTTGCAACACGACGAAACGCCAAATCGTTTGGGTCCAAGTGCTCGGTTGACATTTTATAGTGCTCCCCTTAAATATTCAAATTATGTTTAGTATGATAACTACGTAGCCATAATATACATGATCTTTGACCTTGAAATTTGACGTTCCTGATTTTGCCCTTGGCTATAATTATTTACTGGTACACAATACAGCTTTTACCCTCGATCATAAAAATATGGGAAGCCAGATACGTAAGACCAAAATGTTTTCTACAGAACACTCGAACCAGATATTAGAAGGGTCATTTTCATTGTAGTACTGTGATTATTTATAACGATCAAATTGTTCTTCATCTCGCTGTTTTAACGAAGTAGTAGATACTGAGCAAGTGATACGTTCGATGAACTAAAGTACACAATCTATGCAACAGGCTGGTTAATGAATATGTAATGCGATTTATCAGTGAGTGTGCCATCTAAGTAGCATTTCATTAAAAGCTATGATAACAAAAATGATTTTTTTAAGTTGTCTACAAACCAGTATTTTTTGATATGCAGCTTAAGTCATGACTCGTTTGATAAAAAAAAGTAAAATAACGAAAATTAGCTTCCTATACATGTTTTCCTAACAAGAAACAGAAAGATTAGAAGTGCAATAAAGAATACAAAAAAAATCTTGAGGCAAAAACATTCTGATATTGCAGAAAAAAAACAACATCATATTGGCTTAAGGAAGAAAGGCCGAAAACATTGCATAAAAAACTAAAGCAATACCATAACATCATAACACCAAAAAAACTCGGATGTTAACTCAGATGCTCCGAAAGTGTCAACTGTGAATGCCAGTTCAGTAACATTCGTCTCGGCTGCTGTTTTAATCGGTTGATTAGTCATACAAAGTAACAAGTATCATAAAATAACGGATAATTTGGATTATTTATTGTCTCTTGTGTGACATTTTGATTTAACATAATATACATGTATATTCATTCACATACATACTGTGCATGTTAATTCTCCTACCCTTATCAATAAACTCAATGTGAATGTTTTAATGACAATGGATGGATAAGAATGATGACCAAGGCAACACAAACAATTCAAAAAAATAAATCATTCATGGTAACGCCCACGAATATAATTTTAACGAGATATACAATTGTCCTATAGAATTTGTACATGATCAGAGATATAACAATTGCTATCAATGTCCTGCATTTGCTTGTTGCAATTCTTCCCTATTTCGTGAGTACAATGGATTTTGACCTTTTTCATTTTCAGCATTTAGGATTATTTATCTTGTTTTCTTTAAATCTTACAGACTTCTTTCATATCCTCTGTTGAAACCTCTTAATATAGTTTCACCAGGAAAGGACAATAATGTTGAATTTTATTAAATCAAACCTACTGAAATATTGTCATCAACAATGTAAATTAATAGCGTGCGTAACAATACCTCCGTCCGTGATGTGCTTAAAAGGTTTCCTGTAAAACTATGTAACTATTAGATAGCTTAAATGATGTTACATTAGATAAATATATATTTGATGATAAAACAATGCATATAAATTTCTTTAATGTATCATGTATGTAATAGTACATAAAACGGATAGAAGAAATTACCATATAATTGATAGTTCAACAAAATACACCAACCAGCGACATCCAACTCCTCTGCAAATACAGACGTACAAATAAATGTAAATAACAAAATTAAACACATAGCCAAAATACCCTCACTTGGAAGTCTTTGGTCCAGTTGTTAAATTGATTTTTATTTGTGGATGGATTTATGAGATTTTAACATCGGTTAACTACTGTTGCCTCTGCTGTGACTTTGGATGTTCCAATTATTTTTATATCTTTAATAACTTAAGAAAGGCGGATAATTATTGTAACAGATGAATTTAATATCTTATTTATCAAAATCCCATTAACTTAGAAACAAAATTAAGATAATACATTATCGAGGTTATGTGGAAGAGACATATATAAAGTAGAAAACTCTACTCTGATAACTGTGCAAAGAATTAATTGGTCAGGAGAATATACTTTTTTTTAGACTTCACCAAAAGTTTTGTTTCCTCAATAACGGATTGACGCCGTGTTTCGATACTTTATTAAAAGCCGGTTTTGACAACAAGGTGATTTTTAACGCTAGTGAGTGAACTTGTCTGAAGAGCATATAATTAAATACAAATACACTTCCTAGAACCTGATATAAATCAAGAATTATAAGGAGGTTTTTGTAATAAGGTGGAGACAGAATTTCTTTATGTAAGGCGTCGAGGTAATACTTAAAAACATAACATTGTTTGCCGCCTTAAGAGTAGTTCTTGAGAGCTTTTTATAAGAATTAACGTTCTTCCAATAGTTCGGATCTAATTTTAGATATAGATATCTTTTGATTTTCAGTCACTACATAACTATCTTTATAGGACTATATGCATTTGTCAACAATGTTCATCTCTTCATTATGGAATTTATTTACTTCGTTTTTATAGCTCTTCATCGGATAAGAATTTGTACAAAATTTGTTCTTAAATGAACTATACAACGGATGTGGATCAGGATCTACTTAACTACTTAACCTTCCGGAGCCCCTGAAATTAGCAATGTTTGGTGGGATTCGTATAGCTAATTTTATAGAATTCAGTATTGATTTTCATGAATTACTGTTTTTCTCTTCCGTCGTTTTTCGTTTTATTGCCACAGCGTTGTCAGTTTGTCTTTGATTTATGGGTTTGGATGTTCCTTTGGTATCTTTTATTGGCATTTTTTGTGGCACTAGCTTTCAATTAATTTTCTACCGCAGATGCTCATTTCGACCATCTCCTCAGTTCACTAGATGCTCGATGCCAAAATATTAAAAAAAAAAAAACTTATAAAAGTTGAAGAGCTGATCAAACTTAAAAGGACCTTAAGTATAACCAAATCTGGACAAGGAATCAGAGTAATTCTTGTAATCGTCTAGTCTACTCCATGGAACTTGTGTGTCAAATTCTTTCGAAAAACAGGTAGCGACAAGAGTAGAGTAATAACTCCCTTTAAAATTGCGCGTATTATTTTAATAAATCAAGTGGCCAAGTATGATATGGAAAACACAATTAACAAAATGAGCTTTAGAGATGAAAAAAAAATTATTGGTTTTGCTTTTTTTCGTCCATTGACCTTACACGGTGATTTCTGAAAATTTGATGGTCACCTTAGCGCAATATATTGTTATTCACATTCTTTTAGTTGCTCTATAGTAAATGATTTAGGCCAAATGATGCAAGACTAAATTGGATTCATAGACGGGGGAAAACCTAGACGCGCTGCCTAGTTTGCTAATATTTGTGCTTTTGTTATTCCAGGATTTAATAACTGATTTTTTTTCAGGTGAAAGTATATATACGGAACACAAAATTCAACAAAATTGAAATTTTGTGGATTTGTCTTCATATACTGAAGTACTTTTCTGTAATTTTGACTGTCCGAAATATTTTGCACTTCGTGTTATATATTTAGGAATTTAACTCAGGTAAATGTGACTTTATTAATGTTTTTGTCTCTCCTTGATAAAGCTTATCAAAGCTTGAAAATTATTTAATGGTTTACAATCCTTTGAACAAAGGAAGATGATACCAAGGGGTAATTTAAAAGCCACAATGAAAGAAAAAAGACAACACCCTGAGAGAAAGAAAAATAGAGCAGGCAAATCTCAGTCTACAAAACACTAAACAGAGAAAGAAAGATTCAGAAACACGAATCTCACCAAAACAGAAAATTTGGGACTTCTGGTTTTGTTAGTTCCACCCTTTGTGTTGCCCGTAACAGGCACAATTAGGAAATAAATCATTTTCAGATTATGCAATAAACGAGGAAAAGAAGACGCGATTGACTGACTGTTTCGACAAGTTTTAAATTATTATGTATGATCAACTTTTGTGCACGAATGCATTAAAAACTATATTTTTAATGTACTCTTCAGGAATCAAAGATTTTGTTTTTCATTTTTAGAATGTAAGACAGGATACACATCTTACAAAGGGAACCCATGTCAACCATGCGCACTAGGCATGTATGGTCAAAAATGTGTTTTCACTTGTGAATGTCAAGACAATCAGAGGTATCTTGTATTTAAAATTGTGTTAACAGTTTACAGATGTTCTTCAATTTTTGTAAATTAGCCTATAAAAATACAGCATAAAGCATTCAAAACTGTTTTATTTCTTTTTAGCTGAATATGACGAATCGTTTAATTCGTGTTACTTAATATACCAGCTACATGCAATTATCAGCCGCATTAATATTTGTTTTCTCTGTTACATAACCTATTCCGCGTCATGAATTACTATAATTACACCTGTACTAGACAGCAATAAAATGCTGTTTTTTTAATGCAAAATTTGGTTGTTTTACCTTTTGGTTTCATTTGTTTATCGTATATGAATATCAATAAGCCATTTGTTGTATGGATAGAACCTGGTCCTGTTGTTAACGATCGACAATAGATATATATCTCTTTTGAATGTATAATTTTCTCATCGGAAATGAAGGAATGCTATATGGATTTACTAATTTCTGGTAAATAACTAATTGACAACGGATTAGTTTTTTTTTCGTACTGTTTGCTTTTTTCTTCTGTTTGCACTTATTCTAAATATTTGTCTCATTTTGTCCTTCGTATTTTCTTTCCTCTTTTTTTTTTTTTTTTTTTTTTTTTATGAAGACAAAGATTGCCACGTATAATGCGCTTAGATACACAAATGTATGTCGATATTGTTTATAATTTCAGATGTCATCATGTAAATGGCTGTATCGGTAAGTACGTATACAATTTCTTGAAATCAATACCAAGAAAATATTACATATGACACTATGATGAATATTAAATAAATATCTATAATGTCCTTTTGGGAACAGACATCGTATTACCGAAATTATTTGAATACTAGTAACAAATGAATAACTAGAGTACAATGCATGATAGATCTATCCTTGCCAAATAATCTCATATTGGCTATGATTAAACTCATAATACATGCCAGGTTCAAATATGTTTTCGTCTAAAAGAGTCATCAGTGACGCTCGGATAAATAGATAAATACCAAAATAAGGAACGAACTTGGATAGCATTGAGAACCCAAAATTCCAAACAATGTAAAGTTTTGTAAACAGTTAATTCATAATTATGACCATATCAATGACAATTCATGTAATGATTGAGGAAAAAGGGACTGGATTGTAGTGTAGTTACAACAATTGGAACATATCCGTGGTAATCGTATACAGCATGTATTCAAAACAAAACAAACAATACAGATAATACGAACTTAAAAACTCTGTATTCACATTTTCAGCCGAGGTAACAATACCCACCACTGAAAACAAAGAGAACGATAAAAGGATTGTAGCTGGTGAGTAAGTCCTTTTCCGATATTCTGTGGTTTAAAAATCTCGTAATTTGTATGTATGGGTAGAATTTTCTTGTTTCATATAAGGGTCAGGGTCAGGGTTTTGCAACATCGTCCAAACTAGGACTCTAAAGACATTCAAGAGCGAGAACAATGAGTAAACGGACCAACATAATTGTAAAAAGAGGTGGGAGAAACCAGATGACACTAAAAACTCACAAGTCGAGATGGATAAACAACACAAAGACTAACAACGACTACGAACAGACAAACAAGTTCAAAAGAAGCACTAGTGACACCCGTCGTCTTACTTCTATTAGATATGTTAAATTATATCAAGTGGTTATGGATCACGGACTGGTAGTTGTTCTTATCTAACCATAAGATTTAACCAAAGGCGAAAATTTTCTAACCCTTAACCTAAACCGAAAATGACATTTTGAAATTGAAACACTATTCTAGGATAATGACATAAACACAATATTATGCATAATAATATGGCGAAACAGTATTTCAAAATTCATCTTTTACAAATTAATCAATGATATATTCGGACTGAACTATATTTCTATAATGTATAAAGCAAAAGTTAAAGACTGAAAATAATATATGATAAAACATGTAAAATCTGTGGTGCAATATTTAATCTTCATTTTCGCCGTAAATCGTAATGTAACAACCGAAACTTAGCACAATGTTGTGTACAAACTTTTCCAAGAAATAAAAAAATAATCATGATTCCAAATCCTAACTGTACGAATCAGATATTGATGTACTAAATTTTTGTGTGCTGCTTCTTCTTCGTTTGCTGCTTACTTTAACTACAGTATTCAACTAAACAATAAAATTTTAAACTGCTTTGTTTTATTTGTTAATGTATACGTTTTGGGTTTTTCATATTCGGCGAAAAGCTCATCTGAATTTCTTGTTAGCTGTGTGTCAATATGTCGGATCTAAATATTTTTTTACTCTTCTTTTAACTAAGACTAATTGTTTAATGAGAAGATATTTCAATATAAAATGAGGCTGGTATTCCGAGACTGATATTATGTTTTAATAGTCTCAGTATAACATTAAAATGAAGAAAAGTCAAATGGAAAAATTTTGCACATTTTAGGTTGTGTGAGTACTTCAATTGTTTGTCATTGTCAAAAATTCACATCTGATTCACACCACTATTCAGATTAATTCTCTTCACAATATTTTTTATGGCCTTCATTGATTGAAGTGAGAAAGTTTATAAGTTGTGGAAAGGGCGTAGTTGATCATGCTACGTAATTTTCTTTAAACATATTCCATTTTAATTCAAGAAGAAAGATGATCAACATTCTCTCCTGCATTCCAAAAAAATACCAAAAGATTTTTTGTTTACTTTCATACTTGGTAGGGCCAGTAGGTGTGTATGTCGAATTACCATATCTATGTTTAGTTCAACTTTATTTAAAGATGCATCCCAAACATATTTTCTTTAACATAAAATTTAAGGTTAGAGATTTTATAAGCTGGAGTAGATAGAGTACGGTTTCAAGAGCATTCACAGCCACAAAGTCATTGAAATATTTTAATCTCAAGTGATCACTACTTTTTTAATTTATTATGCCCCAACTACGATAGTAGAGGGGCATTATGTTTTTTCGGTCTGTGCGTCCGTTCGTTCGTCCGTCCGTTCGTCCGTCCGTCCGTCTGTCCCGCTTCAGGTTAAAGTTTTTGGTCAAGGTAGGTTTTGATGAAGTTGAAGTCCAATCAACTTGAAACTTAGTACACTTGTTCCCTATGATATGATCTTTCTAATTTTAATGCCAAATTAGAGTTTTGACCCAAATTTCACGGTCCACTGAACATAGAAAATGATAGTGCGAGTGGGGCATCCGTGTACTATGGAAACATTCTTGTCATTTATGAATTAATGACTAATATGTATTTCATCTACTATATTTCAACCAATTGGCTTTTTTTTGTGCTGAATTGTCTTTATATTTTTGACATCAAAGAAAACCCTGTTGGTATGAAGTCTTAGTGGTTATGCAATGATGTTTTACAATTGTTGGAACCTATTTTTAGTCACAAAATATTTTTAGTAGATTGGAAATGTCATTTTGGGTAATTTTATTATTTGGTTGATTATTTCAGATCAGAAATCAAAGGATGAAAACGTTGTCATATATATGACTTGTGTGGGTGTTTTAGGATTACTTGTTGTAGGTGCTATCACGGTCTGGAAATTTAGGCAAACACTATTCCAGCTAATAGTTTCTTGGAAAAACAGACAGTCTTTATTTGGTCTACAGAGCAATCCACAGCAAGTAAAATTCGACACAGAAGACAATGAACGGTCATCGAAATTGGAACAAGAAATCATGTATCATGTTATTAATGAAAAAGAAATGATGTCGTTCTGCAAAAAATAGAAGATCATTTTCGATGATTAATGTACATACATACTGGAACAACGTTGCAATTTTGAAGTTAAAAGTATAGTTTTCCCCTGACACAGCTTAGTCTCGAATTTCAAAGTTTCAGATTTTTTACCTTAAGTTGTATTTCATTGAACTGTAAATATGTACATATTATTACAGAGTAAATTATATATATATATGGTATAAAAGATGAACTTGATATTCTTTTAATTTGAATAAGTATTTATTGCCACTATTTTAAAGAATGTAATACAAAATCAGAAGAACATAATGAAATAAACATGATAGAGCCTCCTCATAGGGTTTTTGATTATATGATTACTTGGGCGTTTTTATAGTGATTATTTGATTACCAGACCAAATATTTCTGGTTATTTGATTGTTTGATAGTCTTGTTTAAAAAAATAATTAATGATTATGTGATTTTATTGGCAAAAAAATTGTGATTATGTGATTACTTGGACATCCCCATGAGGGGCCTCATGATAAATTCATTAATTATTATGTAGCAGAGAAACTTTCATGCATGTTTGTATATTTACATAGCACGTGCATATTTTCTTGTCATCTTTTTTGTCAATAAAACAAGAAGCTATTTGAAATGTCTTAATTTTATTCAATTGTATGTAAAAACAGATTTCGAAAACATTATTGGCTTGTTGCACTATTTTTAGATTGACCTATCCAAGATCAAAATATTTACACAAATCACTAGATTCAAACAAAATTGTTGATGTTATGATGATGACATCGTTTTAATGTTGAACATAACTAAATATCGATTTTTAAAAAGTCTATTGTACCTTTAGCTTTAGATTAACGCTATTTTCACAGTAATCAGTAACGTATATTAATCCTAAAATAATGAAAATTCACTCAGTCTACAGTCTATACATCATTAACACTAACAACATCTTACTATACCCAATCAAAGTACTGACGTGCTGTTTACTCGGATGAACCCAAGATCTGATGGCTGGCAATAAATAAAAAAAATGTTCTACCTCCATGTTGACTACTAGTCACATTTTACAGCCACATTTAAGACGTTAACATACTAGTATTTAACATGTAATTGTATAGGTTCGTTCTGTGGGCATACATTTAATGAATGCATTTCGATCAGACGTGTATCATACACTTATCCATGAATTACCTTTAACCCGGAAATTAACCTGTATCCCATTACCGTTAACCAGAAAACATAACATTTCTGAAATATTTTTCAACAAAGCAAAATATTTTGAAGTAGGGCTTTTGATAGGATTTATTGTAAAGTGATAAATATTTTTGAATAAAATTATGTAGTATTATAACAGTTGGAGGAAATTGCACAAATATGGAATTAATCCTTATTTGTAAAGGGAGAATTCATTAGAAATTGTATTTAATGGAAAGGGAGACAACTGCAATGTATTACTCTCAAAATGAAACGTATTTTACTCTTATCTAGAAAATACAATATTTTACTATTGAATGCACGGTCTTTAACATGTTGAAGGAGTGTAGTTATTATAAAATAAAAATGCACATCAAGATTGAATCAACTATATGATAAATATTTATAGATCAATGAAACCCAAATGTAATTTTTTTTTTTTCATTTTATTTACTTGTTGCTTTAATTGTAAAATAATTTGGCATCAATAGTGAGTTTCAAATAAGATTAAAAATAGTTATTAGATTTACTGAATTTTGGGTACTTTGTTTTTGTTTGTACAAATATATATATTATATTTCAGTCTCGCTGCGGGTTATGTGCCCTTTACTAAATTAAAACACTGTATTCTCTTGATTTAACCTGTCCTTATGTTGACTTGAATTATGTACACTATCATAAATTCCTTAAGATATATGTCAATCTATCTATTCTTATAGATTGATCTTTTCTAGAGTTTTCGATCTATCGATATGTAGCTGGAAAATCAGATTTCTGGTTTTGTTCTCAATACTGTCCACTAATTTGCTAGAGTTGTTGAAAACTTCTTTATATTTTGTACAGTCTATTATTAGCTGTGAAATTGCGGTCTTGTCTTTAAAAACTTTATTGCATTTTTCTAGAGTAATCTCATTGGTAATGACTTCTCTTATTTCTGTGAAGTACTTTTCTCTTGTTGTACTTAATATTGGATAGGTTGTTAGGAAATGTATTACGTTCTCATTATCAGTGCAACAAAGTTGACATGTTGCTTCTACTGTATAATGCGTTCTATTCTTTTTTATCAGATTGTAGTATATATGTCCCTCTCATTACTCTGGCTTTTATTATTGCTTTTCGTAGTTCGAACCGTGGAAGTTGTTTTACATTCCAGACAGGGTGTGGTTCGTTTGCTTATATATTGCTTGTATTTAGGAATGTTAATCTTATCTGTTTGCTGCATCAGCTAAGATCTTTTCATTCCAGAATGTGCCCACTTTCATCTTTATAGTATTTTTCCAATGTTCTTTCTTTGGAGTATTCTTTTGTAATTGATTGATATTTAAAAGCCCATACATTTCTAGCATATCCATTATTCTGGTAAAATAACTCTTCTTATTGTCAAAATTTGTAGTTACTTGTCTGTTTAATATTAGATGAATGTTATCATTTTCACATGTTAACAGTGATAAAAAAAAGAAGATGATAGAGATCTTTTATGAATTTCGATTCTATTGGTAAAGCTCATATTAATAGTAAGACTGCTGCATTAGAAGTTCTTTCTGGTAGGGATTGTATATGCCGAAGATTTTTCCTATGGAATTTTCCCATTTGTATAATATTTGCTTTTGTCGGAGGTAATACTTCAAGTCCATATATAAGCCTTGGTCCAACATATTTTTTATTGATATTGTACGAGGTTTGAGGATCTAAACCGTTCGTCTCATGGACTCCTGACCCCCATAGTGCATATTTCATTCTTCTTACAATTTGTATTCTTTCTTGAATATGTATTTGAATTCGTTCTTTTCAGCTCTTATAATACCTAGGTGTACACCTGCTTCAGCAATGTGTATCTCATGTCCATTTAGATTCCATTTATAGTTGTTTTTTGTCTTTGAACAGTCAATAATTTGTGTTTTCATTGAATACATAGTATAATGATGTTCGTTAGTGTAGCATATTTACCATTATCTGCAGTTCATTTTCATTGTTAGAAATAAATGCTATATCGTCAGCAAATGTTGGGGTGCCTGCATATATATTTCCTAGATGATATCCTATAGGTTGCAATTCTGTAAATACAGACAATGCAATTTCCCATAGGAACTCCCTTTGCGGCTAAAACTGTGACACTTTTACTATGAAGTTTCGTGAAAAATAATATCCCAGAACGGAAAGTTTATATGCACTACTATTTTATTCAAAGGTCAAAATATAGGGCTGTGCGGCATATTTTCAACATTTATATGCCCTGAACTTCTAAGAGTTTAAACTTATACTAAAATTCTATACTACCCTTACCTCCATTTTTGGACCTCCTAAGAATTAAAATTTAGCCGCTACCATGTTTATCTATACTGGTTACATTCCCAAGTGATGTCTCTATGAGATGAAACACAGAGATCATCAATGGGAACCAGTACGTTAACAAATTAACATACCTATGAATATTAAATATCTCCCCAAAAGAGGCGTGGTTTGAGAAACAGCTGTATTTACAAAGTGCAACCTATACAAACATTTATTCAAATAGAAAACTCTCTAAAAACACTTTTTCTCACAACAATACTTATTTATCAGAATTAAAGCATTAAAGAAATCACTGCATATACTCTAAGTCTCCTTTTACAGTACATTTTATATCCCTACCCCTGTTTCAATTTTTTAAAGATTTTGAAAACAAGACTCTAATTATTGCCAGCTTACCCTATGTGCATGTTTTCTGACATGAACTGTCTAAAACCTGTTTGAAACTATTCTGATAACAAATTGAAAGCATTTTAGAATACTATAAATGTTTTGTTTAGTAGTTAAGCATTCCAACATTCAAGATTATACAAAGTATCCAATCCTGCCTGTGTCTCCAGTCCACATCTTACTGTATGCCTATTTGTCAATGAAAGTTCACAATTTCTGCTTCAAATGGTCAGTTTAGAATTCTTGTCACAACAGTATCATCCCTAACCATATATCTAACATAAGTTAGTTAATATATGTCCTAGAAGTGTTTAAACAAAGGCATATTTGCAAAAGTTGTATTAATGAAGATATCAGTCTGGTGCATAAATTCACTAAAAGTTTGATTGAAATGACTGCTTACATCTGATTTTTGCATAACTTCCTAGCACAGTTATTGTTTACTTTATAAAAGACCTTTAAAATAAAAAAATCATAGCATTTACAAGTTAAATTATCTGTTTTATGACTCAGGGGTAGGCATTTTCCTCTGTTTTTTGCCCCTGGGGCCTCACATTTCCTAATTTTTTTCCCTGTTTCTAGCAATGTGAAATATTTACTACATATTTAGGATAGAACACACTATTGTAAGTTTTACTGAGGTCTTTTTGTAATTCTAGCTTGTACTTTTTTATGCCTCAGTCACAAAAAAGCACATTTAGGCGTTACGGCTTACTTTTGGGTTATCGACAGGACAAAAACACCCCACCAGAAATATTTAGGAAGGATCAATGAGTTGCAATTACTGTGAAGAGTAAATATAAGCACTTCTAAACAATTTAAATTACAAATAGGCATATATTATGAATTTATTTTAAATTCAGGGCTTTAAGTAAACCATGCATACTGTAAACTGTGAATTTATGCTGAGTCATCATAGTTAAGGCCCAGGATTTTCTCAATCTTCATGAAATATTTATAAAACTTCATATTTGAGTTAAATTCTTTAAAATCTCTGAGATAAACCAGATTTTGTGAAATTCTGTATGTTCTATTTTTTAACCCTATATAGGTTGCAATTCTGTAAATACAGACAATGCAATTTCCCATAGGAACTCCCTTTGCGGCTAAAACTGTGACACTTTTACTATGAAGTTTCGTGAAAAATAATATCCCAGAACGGAAAGTTTATATGCACTACTATTTTATTCAAAGGTCAAAATATAGGGCTGTGCGGCATATTTTCAACATTTATATGCCCTGAACTTCTAAGAGTTTAAACTTATACTAAAATTCTATACTACCTTTACCTCCATTTTTGGACCTCCTAAGAATTAAAATTTAGCCGCTACCATGTTTATCTATACTGGTTACATTCCCAAGTGATGTCTCTATGAGATGAAACACAGAGATCATCAATGGGAACCAGTACGTTAACAAATTAACATACCTATGAATATTAAATATCTCCCCAAAAGAGGCGTGGTTTGAGAAACAGCTGTTTTTACAAAGTGCAACCTATACAAACATTTATTCAAATAGAAAACTCTCTAAAAACACTTTTTCTCACAACAATACTTATTTATCAGAATTAAAGCATTAAAGAAATCACTGCATATACTCTAAGTCTCCTTTTACAGTACATTTTATATCCCTACCCCTGTTTCAATTTTTTAAAGATTTTGAAAACAAGACTCTAATTATTGCCAGCTTACCCTATGTGCATGTTTTCTGACATCAACTGTCTAAAACCTGTTTGAAACTATTCTGATAACAAATTGAAAG